GCAATAACCGTAGAGTAGTCAGTAAACATAACTGAATACTTTATTATATGGTTAAAAATCTGATTCAGTCCTAATGTATAGTGATCATTGAAAGTGTACTAACAATAAGAAACTTTACTACAGCGGATTTCATACCTAAATACAATTTACTTCGACATACAAAAAAAACAATTGTATGTATCACAGTTTGTGGTTTAAAATCACTTGAACTCATCCCTTCATTTTAATCACTACATAATCCGAATCACATATATAAGAAATATCCATTCATTGTAACTTGGTCATCTCAGTCATTAAATATCAGGTCAAATATCAGTTGATTTATTTATCGTGCCCTGAACCATAAGTTTCATGGTACATTATGGAAAATTGTAATAACTAATTGATCTTCAAGACAGGCAAAATTAAACATTCGAATTGTGTACTTTTAGTCAGCTTTTACAGTATTTTTTTTTTGCTTCTAATCTTCACTGATAACAATAACAACAAATAAAAAAATTACTTTTTTTGATCATCTTGGGATTGTTCGAGGAATGAGATCAAATCATGTTGTATTTTGTTGTCATTCGTTTATTAAATTGTATATTACCTGTATTCATATGTTATGATCTGTCAAGCATAATCATATAGGAATTACTATTCATTTTTGGCACTTCCGTCTCAATTTTGACGTTATTATATTTTCTGAGCTGGGTAGTTCAATAGTGAAGCTTTTATTGTCCTTCTCATTTGAATGAGAAGTGAGTTATCGGGCTCCCATTTTGCTTCAAACATTTACTGTCTTGTTTAAAAATACCCAACAAATTAAAAGGCTAATATATATGAACGAAGAATATTCTTTTCGATAAATTCTCTTCAGGTTCTACGATTATATATCCAAATTAACAATTCGAAAAATGGCCAGATTAAGGATAAAATGCATCGTTTAAAGCGTGTGAATTTGGGATTGTCAAACAAAATAGAATAAAATTATTAATGTAGATATGACTCATATAGAATGTTAACTTAAATCTGCGTATATGTTAAGTGAGATTTAAGATCCATGATCAGAATTAATGTGGATCAGATAAGGTAAGAGAAATAATAGTGAAGTTACAAATTCAATCAAATGTTTGATGGAAGACTATAATGTGTAAGGGTTTCTTATTAAATTAGTAAGAAATAATAGTTGAATGAATGCTAAATAAGTAAATCATATATTCGGGAAATTAACAGCTATGTTAAACCAGTAATAATGACGATAATAATGATGATACAAAAACAACTGAATACAGATAACAGAGACAACTACATTTGACTAATAAACATACATTGGTCAAACTAGGTCACTCAGTAGCTAAGATTGCTATTGACTAATTAGCCGTGAGGTAGGCCACGGTAGGGGAAGCGGTTGAAGATATTTCTTTTGTGCACATAGCTCGGGTTTCTTAATCCAAATGACTACTGCCTTACACTATTTGAAGGACGTTGAGTCTGACATTTTGGCAAGAAATTACTGACCCGATAAATAATTGAGATTGGCTTGTGCTGGCACTATAACCAGTTTATACTAAATGGTTCTATATTGAGTTGTTCATTTTCTTTACTGAACCTTTGTTTAGCCACGCTGGGAGGTGTTGACGAGCATGAGAATGCGAGTTACTAGAACCTCGACCAATATCATTTGCTCTACAACAGCATTTGAACTGATAAATACAAAACCAGATGGTCATTCTAGGTTATTAATCTTTTATCCTCGGTTTGACCAGTGGGTGCGTAGAAAACACTAGTTGTAGTTCTCCAGCATTGAATGATTTTCGGATCGTTCTGTATTGTCTCTGGATTAATATTTCGCTAGTTGCATCCCCTCTGAATTGTAAGCGCATGAACAGGGATTTCTTATTCACTATTTTTATTTCACCTATTCTAATCTTCGTGATCATATATTGGTATTCGTCCTTCCTAAGCGTAGTACGCGAGACGTTCAACTCTCCAACTATATTCGTAGAACATATAATGCGTATTTGAGGACTAAGAGTTTTGATCAGGCTTCTTTCGTATAGTAGAGGTACAAAGCCAAAGGAATGTGTGTACCGACTTGTCGGTGTATTTTCTCCCGTTAAAATTTCTTCTTATTGACCAGTCAGCTCTCTTAGCTAAGAAAACGTCCAAAAAGGCTATTCTACCTTCACTTTCTTCTTCAGATATGAACTTCATTAATGTTCCTAATAATAACTGGTGGCGATGTGCTATCTTTACGGAGGATGAACGTGTCATCCACATGTCGATAATAAAATGTGAATTTTTGAACTATTTTTTTAAGTGGACCATTTTCTGTTTTGGCTAGTAAAGTATCAGCTGGTGTGGGACCCAATAGTGATCCCATTGCAACTCTACTCCTTTGTTTATAGGTTTCTCCGCTAAACTTGAAATTCACATTCATGGTGCATTCTCTTTTACGACACTAATTGGAATTATAATTCTAATTTCGTTTTCTTCAAGTTGTTCACATATATATTTTAGTCCTAATGACTGGAACACTTGTGAATAATGGTATTATATCCCAAGACACCATCCTTTGTTCCATAGTATTTACATTTTCGATCTTGTCAACAAATTAAAAAACATCTTTAACATAATGCTTTACAAGTTTTGCGTGGAATGGTTTTAATATAGTTACCAACCACTTGGTTGTTGTGTGATATGTAGAGTACTACATATCAAAAATTGGTCTCAATGGGATACCGGGTTTGTGCACCTTCGGTAACCCATACAATTTTGGTAGATGAGTTCCCACAGGTCTAATCATTTCTTATAAACCTGATAAAGGTATCTGTTGGTCTCTGAGCTCCTTCAAAGATTTGGTTGGTTCATTCCCTATCTTATTATTGAGATCTTTTTGATCAGTTCGTTTTCGAAATTTTAATGTCATCTAAACTGGTACCCACTTTGTCAGTATCATCACTTTTATTCACAAAAAAAGCTCTTAAAGCTTTATCAGGTTTCATAATCAATAACATTCCATCCTTTATGAGTACGTTAACAGCTTATTCGTGCTTCTTTGTAAGGATGATTTTGAAGTTAAATATACTGCTCTCATACTGGTAACAACAGTCTACAAGACTTGATCTCAAATGTTCAAGTTGTTGATTAGGAGTTGCAACTAAATTCCGGGTCTAACTATGTAGATTTCCGAACTGTATACCTGTATCTATGTGGTCGGAGTGATTACTGTCTTCATTGGTAAACTGTATATTGTACTACATAACATAAGCAACAATAATACCGGTACTTAGTTGAATACATCGCTTTTTATTGATAAGTATAGATATATGACACGATATCTTGTTTGCTGATTTCTTATTTAACTAACAACTCAAATAATTTCTTACTATGCTTTACCTATGCATTTCGTATCCTTACATTAAGATTCAATAAATACTGTACTATTTCAATTGACAATCACCCTAGCCGAGGATATATAGTGGCAAAATTTCAGCGCTGAAGTATTTCGCCCTTACATCTGTTGGAATTTATTCATATACACGTTCGTTACAAACTACACATTACTTTCTTCAATAAAATATATCTTTTTGGCAAAAATTAGTGTAGAATTTTCTTCTACCTTCCAATATCATTAGTTTATACTTGTTCATAACTAATGCATTGTTAATGATGGCATGGTGTGGATCTGCGCCTTAATAATTTAAATACTCAGCGATTTTACCACGATTTCTAGCTTCGTAACATACATTTAGATTTGGTCATTTGAAAATATTGCCTGTAAACTTTACACACTGAGTAAAGTTGGAAGCTAGACATGCAAATTTAAACATGGTTACTACATTAAAAATGATGTATTTTGTTAAACGAGATGTAGAAATTCTAATCATATACCCCATTAAGTATATCTCTGTCAATTTTATTGTCAAGTAAAAAGTAGCGTTACTTTTAATTTAGCAGGACTTTTATGTTTATCAGAAGTAAACCTCAGTAAACATAAATCAAAATACATTAACTTAACACATTTTCTTTACTACTCAGAGATTTTCCAATGGATCTTTCCTACGCTGCTTGGCTACGTTATTTGAAATACTAGTTCTTTTTAGTGTAATGATGATACACATCAATCATACGTAACTCATTTCACTTTGTATAAGTCTATTGACCGGAAACTTAGTCACATTATTTAATTGAGGATTATTAATACTACTATCCTGTTTCCTAAAATGAAGTATGTTGAACAGAATTCAAACATGAAATCTGATGGCATTATATGTATTTGAAATAATCCTGACAATTTAAATTTCAATGGTTCCGACGCTTCACCTGACAAACTAGCCCGATCTTCTTCAACGAAACAATCAAAATTGTCATCTATAAATAAGGTTCAAAGTGATTCTGTTGACCTTTGATAATTTTGATTACTCCATTGAAGACCACTGAACCAGTGTGGCAAGTGAAATGTTGGAATTATTTAAATTTCAATCGCTGAGATTATTTCAAATATCATTTTGACATCTATCGTCGTCTAGATAATTGGCATTTAATTTCGTTCAAACCATTCGTTCAAATATTGACGAATATTCACATTAACTGGAACAGAATTCTTGAAAACTACCTCTTTACCGAACACCACTAGAAATAAGGTGATCCATTTTTTCGAGGAACATCATGCTCATACATTACAGTCAGTCAAACTATCTGGTTCACATTCCATGTTTATTTAAAAAATAACAATCGTTTGTCTATCAAAAGGATTTTATTATGCAAAACTACTGGTTGAAAAACCATGTTATCCTTTTCTATTCATAAGTTATCTTAATTAAAATGACAAAGAAATCTGATTTTAAAAAAGAAATTAACAATAATTCAATATGATTGTTTACTTTACAAACACTAGTGAATTTTTATGGACAAATCTGAGGTTATGTGAATGCGTGAGTGTATATAAATGTTATACCAAAAGAAACTCAATCATTCATTCATAGTTGTAATTAGTTAATTTTAGTATGAAAATACTAATATGTTATCATTAAATCATTCTCAGCCCAAATAACATGTTTATATTTTGTTTTCAATGCATGCTCTAAATCAATTCTACGTGAAGCATTCTGTATTTCACAAGTACATTTCACTTGAACTTGAAGTATACCTGATGTTGACCAAATACGTTCGTGACTAATGTCTTTTATGCTTTGTATATAAAAATGGAAAAGTTAAAATTCATGAAGAAATACTTGATGGAAAAATAGATTTATGGATCTGGGTAATGATACCCTATTTTAATTAAACTCGTATCAACCTAGTCAATCAATTATTTGTGTCGATTGGACACCTTAATTACTCATAATCCGGCTTAAATTGTTTACGATCTATGAGTATATATGTTATGGACAATTAATTTACACGTAAATTAACTGACTTATATAACGTTCTCACACAGTTAAATAGGAAGGTGACTAGCAAGCAAAATTGATCAATTTCAAGATAAGCACTTACCAATGTTGCAATGAACAAATACTAAAGACTAAGACATTATTCAAACGAATTTTAAATATGAATAGTAAATGGGCAATTTTTAAGTTCATCATAAATCTTACCACCCCGAATTCATTGAATAACATTTCCAAAGTCAAACTATTATAATGCAACTAATTATTAGACAGCATTTTTAAAATGTTGAACGACCAGATTAATTCGACAGTTTAAAAATCCCCAAAGAATATTCAAAAGTGTAGAATATTTTCAATAACTTCATCATCATCAGGCTCTACAGTTATAAGTTCATAATGATTGTGATATTTTGCAAAGGTCAGAATATGGCATATATTAAGAAATTTGAAAGTGTTATATGTTAAATAAGGGTTAGTTGGTGGTTGGAGGTAGTCAACAGGAAACCCTGGACCCGGGTTTCGTGCTACTTGGCACTCGTCAGCAAGGTGAACCTGTAATCTTGAGGGAACTGGTGCTCCCTGGCGGATTCGATCTCGTGTCACCCAGCTTCACAGTCAGAGACGTTACCACTGAGCTATCCGAGCCGTGACTAACCTTCTGTAGGACTGAGATGTAATCACAATAAGGACTAGACAAGCATGAGATTGATCACCACCCAGTGATCAATCAATTGTGATTACATCTCAGTCCTACAGGAGGTTAGTCACGGCTCGGATAGCTCAGTGGTAACGTCTCTGACTGTGAAGCTGGGTGACACGAGATCGAATCCGCCAGGGAGCACCAGTTCCCTCAAGATTACAGGTACACCTTGCTGACGAGTGCCAAGTAGCACGAAACCCGGGTCCAGGGTTTCCTGTTGACTACCTCCAACCACCATCTAATCTCAATACATAGTGCCCGCAGTGTCGAGTCACCTAGACTGGTGGCCACATTGCAACATGATCGATAGCATTCGATCTGCACTAATAAGGACTAGACAAGCATGAGATTGATCACCACCCAGTGATCAATCAATTGTGAATAAGGGTTAGTGTTTACATCTGTTATGATATAAATACTTCACAATTGTGTTATTTGTAAATTAGAAAGATCATTTAATAAAGGTCAGAATAAATTGGAGTAGATTGTCAAGTCACAATCAGTACAAAAGTAATATAGCAAAAATGAAAATGAAAAAAAATCATGTAAATAAAATGCATAGTAAGAGAATTTCATCTTGTTAATTGAAGTAATAATGATAATAGAAATCGTGATAATAATGTTAAAAATTGTGCTAATATCTCTAAACTACAAATTACGAATGATAATGCCTAAGATAAACATATTTAGTTCACTTGGTGTTGTTTTATTTGTATCTTCCCATTGATGTTTAGCACTGCAACTGGTCAGTCTGTTATTGGTATACGTGTATACTATGCACATTACCTCGATATTGTCTTCATTCACAAGCTCTGTAAGCAAAGATGGATAGTGGATAGCAGTGGAATCGGTGACACGTGTTTCGTCCTCTTTGGGACTCGTCATCTGGATGTACCTGCACCCCAGAGTTGATGTTCACTGCGGGACACGAACCCAGTTCCGTTCGCCTCAAACGCCATCGCGTTATTCATTTTTGCTTGAAAAGCTTGTGACTCGAGGCTATATCGAGGCAATCCGCACAGGACATACATATGCCAACATGAGACTGATCAACTGCAGTCCTAAATAACAATCGGAAGATACAAGTAAAGCAAAAACAAGTGAATTTAAATTTCACCCCATCGCACAAGCAAGCGGCTGTCAAGACTCAGTAGCTTGGTGGATAACGCGATGGCGTTTGAAGCGAACGGTACTGAGTTCGAGTCCCAGAGTGAACATAAACTCTATGATGCATGTACATCCAGCTGACGAGTCGCAAGTAGAACGGAACGTGCGTCCTGGATTCCACTGCTAGCCACCATCCGTCTTTGCTTAAAGATATTTAGTGCTACGATTTCTTAACTGAAGCATCTTAGCGAGATTATTATTTTGCATTCTCAACCGATTTATCACTTCTTAACTTCCTACTGACAACAAACAGAGAATAAATAAAATTCAACGACATTTTTGAAATTAGATTTGTGCTACCTACTAAAAAAGAAAAAGAAATATTTTCGTGGAGTAAATTTTATTTTAGACAATTCTGGGTAAAACTGTAGTACAGTGATGAGCTTATCAGAATGGTGGAAACAAATTTTAACTTTTATTACTTAGAATGAGCCGCAAACATATATATGTATAGTGTTAGAACGCTTAAAATTACAGCAAAAAATTGGTTTTATTACATCAAAGGATAAAAATAATAGTTTTAAACTAATCAGATACTCACTTCTTTATATATCTATCGCACGTGACAGGCAAACCAACCCTTACTCGACCTTTAACTCTGATCGGAAACAATGCATTTACTCCTAAAAAAATTTGTGTCCTTACAAGGGTTCGAGAAAATGGATGATTTATGACCAAATGGACAAGTTTATATGTCACTGACTTTTCGACTTGCATACAGAAAGACCTGCAGAAAACTCTGATAATTTCCTTAATCATGTAAATTATATGGTATTATTGGTGTTTTTATTAACTTTTAATTGGCTAACAATGAGCTATAACTAGTCGCGGTTATTTCAAGAACCACTAAAACTTACCTCAATATTCTACTCCCACCCACTTTCTGTTTTAGTGATAATACTTAGTTCTAAAAGCTAGCAACTGTTATGGGAAACACTGACCATTTAATACTTTTTTCCTTACTGTAAGATTTTTTTAAAACGATAATCCATGAGATATCATGTAACATTAATAAACAATATGAAGTTTAAAAAATAATACAACCGTTATGTTAACTTACTTAGCTCCGATGTCGTTCAAAATTAGACATAGTTCTGAAATACTTTCAGGTCGATCATTTAAAACAACTATGAATCGACAGAGACGACCTTCAAGTGCTAATCCTTTGTCAATAACACGGCTTAGTGATGAGATGTCAATATTTCCTCCACTTAGAATGCATACAACTCTAAAACATCAGGAATAATGAGGACAAGTTGTTATTAGTTGACATGGTGGATTGTACCACAATTTCCATCAAATCACTTTAAATAGTCGTTCAACTTTTTTCCCATGTTAGGTAATATTCAGTCATTCGTCTTTCAGTTCGAAGGTTGGATCCCTTAACTAAATCAACGAACAATTTATTAGGAATATTACAAAATAACGTAAGAGTAGCTCAACGTATGGTAAAGTCACAGAGCCTGCCAGTCTCTATAATAGGTCTATAACTACAGATTGAATATAATTTCAGTATTTGGATAAAGTTAGTGATAGCTGTCATATTAGTCTTCAAGTTTGTTTTAATATTCAGATGTTTCGGAATATTTTCAATACAGTAGACAGCTGGTAATATTTCGCATTGACATTTCCATACCTAAAATGTAGTTAGTCACAAAGATAAGACGCCTTACATATTTCCTTTTGAATATGTGGTCCCAAAGACTGAATTTAATGTAAAGTCGACAATAAAAAATGTTCGAATCCTATCCCAGTTAGTTGCAATATACACATTAGTTAACTGAAGAACGGAACCACTATCATTATATATATTTATAGCTTACACTGACGATGTCAAGCTATCTTCTTCCCTGATTTGCGATTTAGGTGGAACGTGTGTTTACTAGAAAAATTGGAATGTTACCAACATGACATGTCCATAAAATCAAATTTAGTGTAATACGCCAAAAATCCAAATACTCACTTTTTTCCGATTAATTCAGGCAAAACATTTGCCATAATTAAAGCTAATGAAGTAGCCCCAGAACATTCTACAACAGATTTCTCAAATTCTAATAAACGAACAACTGCACGATAGATATATGTTTCATCAATAGTTACCACTTTATCAACTAATTTATGAGCTGTTTCAAAGGAATTCACACCAACCACAGAAACAGCTAAGCCTGATGAAAGAACAAAGAATAAACTTAATCTAAAATAAATATCATGATAATACTAAATGATATAAACCATTTATGTAATTGAAGTTATCCAACGAACTATGGATGTTAAAACATTAGTTATAGGATTTTTTTTACCTAATATAATTGACAATATAAATTAACTAGTGAATGCTCAGTATTAAGTACGAGCACATATTTGCTATAAAGAAATCTACATCACAATTAACTGGAAAATAAAACCTAATCACAAATAATGGTTATGACTTTGACCACATTTTCCCAGTAATTAATCATTGGATCGTATGATGTTGATGAGAAATGTGTAATAATCACTATAATGGTATTATATAAACTTGGGAAGATAAATTTAGAGTTCATTTGATATACAATATTGTAGCAACGATGAAAAAAAACTTTAGTAGCCAAAATAATGAAAATTACTGATATTGAAATTACAGTGATGCTTTTCTTCATTCTTTCTTCAGTTCCTGAAAGCTCATCAACTCGTAAACCAGATATTGTGACTAATTTCAAGTTAGATTTAGGATTATCTGATAATGAAGGGAATTCTACAAATTTAACGAATCTTTAGAACGTGCAAAAAAGTCCAACTAGTAAAAGAACTATTTTAGAGATATTAATTACACCATGACAACTTTGATGTAAGTTAATCTAGGTTTTAAACAAAACTAGTTTATTTCAACAGATTACTTTCTATAACAATCGAACTAAATTAGATATATACGAAAAATAAGGATAGCTCTAAGCTGCCGTGGTTTCTGTATATGAATAAATCAAGTGTAGTACGTTGTCAAGATATCAATACTCGATGATTTTCGAGAGTACTTAATATGATGGGACAAAAAGATGACACTACTTAAGCCAACATTTCCTATCATTTCAATATAAACTTCATTTTATATGAAATGTGGGCTTTCGTTCAGTGTGATAATTATATCTATTGTATCAATTGTTACACTGTATTCAGAGTGTTTTTACAGTACCTATATGTGTTTTCTCCCATCTGTAATATTATTAAGTCTCAAAATCAGTATTTGATTGTATTTCGGTCTAAAGATGACATGGAACTTTTGGGGACGTGTTTTTGGAGAATCAATAATCTCTATTCCACCAGCTTTTTATGTTCTAACTTTGCGTCATGGGAATAACAGTGGCTCCCGTTTCAAATTATAAGCATTAAGATCCAGGAATTGCGATGCTTTCTAGTAGTCAAGTAAAGTATCAAGACTGAGGAATATCATTAAACACACGGCGATTTCTGTATTTTTTCATCCCATTAAAAAAATTTCATTCCGTTTCGTCCAATTAAATGACTAGTTTTAAATTCTTAATAATTGTTTATTTGTTTATTAAAATTGATATGAAATGTAAGTACTTGTCAACAGAGCACCTTTTCTTTAAATTATGGACAATGGTAACGTAAAAAGTACAAGCTCTGTTGTTCCTGATGCTGTTACGGACACGGATAACATATTCTTGAATACATTGTATCTGGTACCGTTCTAATCACTTGAAGAGTTAAAGAGAGCCATCAGAACTTATGAAGGGGTGACGTACTGCCATTTTGCAGTGCAAGATTCTCATTTTCATAGGGATCAGAAGCCGTATATTAAATTTTTATATTGGAGAAATGGCCGCAGAACACATAGCGGATCCTAACACCCGACTAGACGAAGGATGTAATTTGATTTATGTTATTATGTTGTTCAAGAAGGACTGCAATGTCTGACCTTCATCTGTTGTAAGTTTATTGAAGGTTACTGTGCTGTTGTTCGTGGGAATGTACATCAAAATCATGGATGTAATTTCCTGACTAGATATTGGATTGAAGTGCAAGTTCAAAAATGCACAGGTGATTGTCGCAACAAAACAGATATCGGTCGGGAACCCCAAATATATCGTCTTCAAGAAAAACTTACATCTGCTGCCTGCCAACTATTGAAGCGTTACCTGAGCATTCCTGTAACAGAAATCATAACGTAAGTGTATTAGTTCACGGCTGTTGACACTACAGGCACTTAAATGGTCTCCCAAAATTCCGTCAATTGCTCGTATAGTTACTTAATGACAAATATGAAATTGTTTCCACAAACTCAGAAGAATTCAATAAATGAGACAAAAACACTAACAAAGATGCCCACGACAACAGACTGTGTAACATATACAATTTCGCTCAACCGCCGAGTGAAACTGCTGATGGAAGCACTTGAGTTTTTTGTCACTGTGATGCGACGTTCCATTCGTTTTGTGCTTGTGACTGACAACCACAATTCCATAGATTCCATTGTCTGATATGCGGTGTGAGAACGGAATAATAGTTGCGCCATTGTTCAGGGTAATCTGAAATGTTTAGAGACCAAAGGCCCTTGTTAGAGCCACGCACAATTCCACTTAGTTTCTTTCGTTTCAATTCGTTAAAAAATGATATAAAACAAGTTTTGTTAATCTCATTCTCAGTGAAGTAGTTTAACAGTTTCTTCTGATAACTCCTTTCCTGTGTACAACAGTGATGAAGTTTTTTTTACCTTTAGGTGTGTACCGAAAATTAATGAGTTTAGGCTGTCATTAATGTTGATTTACTGAACCACAAGTACTAATATCAGTTCACTGGCAAAACAATATTATTTCTATGGGAAAGGTCACCTGAACTAACACTGATGAATTATAATAAAGCCCCAGTGAATAAGCTGCATAATCAATTGAGAATAATAATAATAACAATGTGATTATAGCTGAGATCCTAACATAGTTGATACATACATAACAGCGGTAAAATACGCATGCATAACAGAGTCAACGGCTAAACTGAATACCTGACAAAGGAATTAGATGCATTCTTGATTCCTAGTGAGGGATAGACTTAAAGATTTTGTAAAAAATATCAATGAAGTACATAAATCCATGTTAACTGACTGGAAAATTAAATCGCATTACGTTTTAATATGTGTGACATAAGTATTTAGATGAAAGAGATAAAAATTTACTGGCAATCCGTTTGGTTACAGACAAAATATAATATTAAAAAAAATTCTATACCATCTGCAGATGATTGACGATTTTCTGTGTAAACTGGTTTACCAGCGAACATAGCTTCATGAAAACCAGGACAACGATTAGATTCTACACCCTAAAATTCATATAACATTATTATTACCAAGAAAAGTTGTTAATTGCCCATTTAATTGGTTATAATAATATTCAATATAAAAGTAATTGCTTATGCTTTCTCTGTTCTACCATAATTTATTTATTATCATACACTGCAAAATACATTCCATTCATTTAAATTGCCATAATTATAGTTCATCATTATTTATTTTACCTTCAATTATATAATCATAACATAAGAGTTCATGTAACTCAAACAAAAGTCCTCAAATGCCCTGGTATGGCCGAGAGTGGGGTGGGCTCGGCCTCCCTCTCGAAATGTTCTCACATGGCCACGCGTATACAGCCCCTGCCAGGGAAGTCCTACTCACTGCCTTCTCGTACCACGGGTGTTGTTTACGAAATTGAGAGGACAAAAAGCGAATTTCTGGCGCTTTAACCGGATCCCAAATCAAATGGTGCACATTGGCTCCAGTATCCTGAGGGAACAAATGGCGTATGAACTAATCGTTGGTCACTGGCTACCATGGGACTGCATCCCCTCACGATGCTCCACTGCCTTGTGGGTTAGACCTTTAGGTCAAAGGCTCGGGGTGTAGCCCCCTAAGAAAACCGCCTGATTCGGTCTGGGCACCCGGGCAGTATTCCAGCCCTCACACAAATCGAGTGGTCTATGTGGCGCATATCTATTTGGTGCCTCCTTGTACCAATGTTTATGTGTTTAAATAAATAAAATAAAAACTCAAACAAAAACTAGGACTATGTCTCAAGTAGTTCTGTCATCATCTATCCATTACTTCCATTATATTCTAGTTATTTTAATAGAATTTTCAAGATTATTTCAAATTGTAGCTTAAAATGTTTTTAGCAGTAAATATTGGAGTTGACAAATATGTTATTTGATGTTTTTCTTAAACTAACCTGAGACTAACCTGTATTTTAATTTGTTCAAAGGGTCAAAGTTTTATGATTAATGTTAACAAAAGATAGAAAACATTGTAAATCGTGAAAAAAAACTACTTTTTGATCTTTTAATAACTAACCGGTCAATTACAATGTTGCTAAAAATAACTTGAGAATGTTCTTAACATAGAAAGAAAATTTTTTCAACTAATGCGATGATATAGAATTTCATGGTGAATAAAAAAACATACGATACTTTCTTAATTTTAAAGGTTTGCTATAATACTTGAATTTAATCAGTAAAATCATTTTTCATTCATATGTAGTTCGCTTTAATGATATAACACAAATAAAGTCCATTCTATTCAGTAGGTTTGTCAGTATTATAAAACATAAAAGTATGTATATAAATACTAGTTCAATTAACGACTGATTATTTTCAAGCAAAATGAGAGAAAACTTCCTGAAAAATTAGACTTTTAACTTACTTCACTTCAAAGTTTACACTCATGACACTGTTCATAAGAACAATGAGAATTTCACAAGTAAACGATTCTTTTTTTAAGATAGTATCAACAGTATCACCCTACTGACACATGAATCTTTCACTAATAACACGAGAGGTTGTCTTATTCTATTTTTAAAAAAAACTAAATATCTCTAATACATTCAAAAATGATCATGAGTAAATATTTCGTTGGAATCTACTTACAACTATCATAACTTCTGGTCGAATAGATTTAACTGCCACACAAAGTCCAGCTAATAAACCACCTCCACCAACTGGTACAATAATAGCATCCACATCAGGAACTTGTTCTAAGATTTCTACACCAATGGTACCTTGTCCAGATAAAATATGTGGATGATCATAACTACAGTAGAAAGTAAAAAACTGTCAGCTTATCTGTTGAAGACTTAACTGTGACAGAATCGTAGCACTCATGTGATGCGGTAAGAATTAAATCATATAATAAAGGATTAGCTCTTTTGGAAAGTGAATAATGCATAGTTTATTTATTATTTTATTATTATTATTAGCTTTATTCAGTATTATATTTTTGGTAAAATATAGAATTCTCAGCGCAAAGTATTTCAACAAGTTTCCGTTTTTTATTTCTTGATGAAACCTGACGATAAATAATGAGTGCTTGCCAATTAGATGTTAGCAGATCAGAAATCGACATCTGAATAATGTACATTCTTTTCGACGTATATTGCCAGCAACCACAATGTCTCTGATTGTGCTCTTTCCTAGCGAAACGTCGTGAATTTTTCACAAACGCACTTGAATACGTTGCGCAATTAGTTGACATAACGATCTGTTGAAACAAACAAAAGACAGACAACTTGTTGAAATATCTACATGGCAGGAACAAGTAGCCCAGATATTCAGGCAGGCCGCCTTTATGTCATTGTTTATCTGATTGTTAAATGATTTGTAGTGGCTTAGATTCGTTAATTAATCACCTTGATAACCGTTATTATATAAATCCCAACGGTGTTTGAAATCAGAAGGCAACAAGAAGCGGAGACTACAGTTTATTAGCGAATAGTTCAGATAACAAAGCTACAAGCACATCGAGTGAATTTCATGCAGACAGACGAATATTTGTGTGCAAGCGAATACAGAGGTAAATTTATAGTCAAACCAAATCAAGGTGCAGTTAGGCAAGGTAAAGGCCAATAATAGGATTCGAGTATATATACATGGGGAAAAATGATTCATCGAGTGATATCTAAGCTATCAACATCTATCAAGTATCTACTGTGTTTAACTAAACAATAAAACCATATTATTTGAAACTAAATAATAAGTATGGATATTAGTTATGTTTGATTGTGTTCAAAATGTAGATAGATCAGAATCAACGAAAGTATAATTCGAATAGAGAATAAATAAGTAAATAAACTTACCCATTGATTAAAAATAAGTTGTTTAACTTTGCTATTTTTGAAGCATACAGTTTACTCTTGAAGTAGAAAAGAAAGAAAGCATATAATGTTCACAATGAAAATCACTTTAAAATTGTACAAATATTTTTCCACATTTGTAATAATTATAAACTTACTGATTACTAATTTGTAGATAGATGAATTTCAAGTATTTTTAGTTAGAATCTATATATCCTGAGAAATCGACATTTATTCCGTAAAACTGAAATAGTAATTCACTTATTAACACTAGATAATAACTATAACATCAGTTTAGTGGATTATATTATAAATAACTGAACATCATAACACTCCTCTGAATGTGTCATCTTTGCTATGAAATAGGAAAGATTTGTAACTTAGCAACATGATTTTGTTGTAATTATGTTCTCTGAGCTTGCTGATTCAGTCATGCTTTCACTGTCTTTCTAGATAACATTAACAGTTCGAACTAAAGATATAAAGGACCTATGAAAATTTATTCACAGGTGACCAGTAGCCTGTTCTGCTTTTTTATACCTTTGATTGTTAGCTGTTAACACGTACACTGCCATAGCCTGTACATTTATTTTGATTCTCTCCCTTCTTGATCTGATGGCTGTACGTAATTTTTCTGACTGGTAGATAAGTTGCGTAGATTTTAATATGTTTATTGATTATTGACTGAGTGTAAACATTTTGGAGATTTTGTAGTCCACTTTGTGATGCCTCAGTCTAAGATTCCAACGTTTTCCTCAGTCGGACATATTTCTACAGTTGTCTATATGTATTGGTATAGGTAAAGATATGTTGTAGCCTTCTAAAGCCGATCGGTTCTCAAGTAGACGATGATGAAATTTGCTATCGTTATGTTTGATTTACTGTTCTTCGTAATTAAGGAGGTTTTTTAAGATAGTGTTCGTCTTATCTTCTGTCATTTCATCTTTCGATTTGCATGGGATTGATTCAATTGCTTTCTTCGGTTGCACGTATTTCGTGTCAATAATGGTCTCAATAGTCTGGTTATTCTAATAATATTCATCAAGACAGCGAGAACTTAACAATGAAATAATATATCTCAGTGAACATATTTTTAACCAAATTACTGTAAGACATTATAATCTTATGGATGTAACAACTGCGAAGGAGTAGCATACAAGAACAAAAAAGTTGTCTTCATGCTTTATTATTTTAAATAATTATCTGACTGATGTCAACCGACAATTAAAGCAACACTGGAGCCTATGAAATCATTATGATTAGCCCAAGCATTTAAAGAAATTACTAATGTAATAGCTCCAGCTTGTTTATTTAAAAATGATTTGGTGGGTAAGGTTGTTTTGTAGTTAAGTAATCTTCCCCTAAAGATTTGCAACGTAAATACAGCTATGAGGTCTGAAAGTTACTACAGCTGAGGAATAATACCCATCATCTTAAACACAATTTTGATTACATTTCTATCAGTATGGGGATTTGTGGAGATCGTGGTATTACCACAGTTGAATTCACGAGTCGATCTAAGCTAGACCACCACTGAAAACCTGGAAGCATTGGAAGACTAGTTCGTCGTAGTATTGGACTCCCCAGTAGTGTGCATAAACGATCCCACACGTGAGACTCGGACCCAGGACCTTTGGTCTTGCACGTGAACGCTTAACCTCTAAACCACTGAACCGGCATCGAATGAAGTTAGACATTAACACCGATTCTGCAATCTTGAGTTGACTGAGGTCGAAAAAGTAAACCACTGTATACCAACTAAGTTGTTTTGAAGATAACACACTTACAATGAGGCCTAAATGTTTGTGATTCGGTCTTTTGTGAGTTTGTTGGTGAGGATTATAAAGGAATTCGATACTAAGGTTGATAAAATCTACTTTAGATCCTCTGGTTTTCAGTGGTTGATTAATTAAAACCAATTCGTGATGTGAAATATTTTTCAAATAGATAATCTCGACCAACGTACCATTCTAATTATCTTGAAGTAATTAACTGACAGTTTTAATTGGCACTTCGCCAGTGGGGCTAATCCGTGTCAGGTAGAAACAAGTATCTAGCTTTGACAATAGAAAATGGTCTTGAAATTTCGTGGATCGGTGAAAGTTAAAAATTAAAATTGTTGGATGCCGAATCAGTGGTCTAGAGGTTAAGCGTTCGCGTGCGAGACCGAAGGTTTCGGGTTTGAGTCCCACGTGCGGGACCGTGAATGGGCACCGATGAGTAGTCTCATACTACGACGAAACGGTCATCCAGTGCTTCCAAGTTTTCAATGGTGGTCTAACATCAATTGATTTATGATCTCAACCAGAAAAGTTTGTTATTACATGCATAATGCTAATTTGGGATTCATAGTGTTTTTTAATTCCACATCGAACTATTTAAATTTAATGTGCAAATAGACTAGTTATATCCCGATTAATAATTATAAGACATTCACTTATAATCTAAAACAACGGTGAAGACATGTGAATGACAAATTAACTGAACTTAAACCGATATACATATATAAGTTCCTTTATACTAACATAGATAAATTCCATAATAGATTTTACTAACTGGCACATGATAAAAAGGAATTGGCTTTGTTCAAGCAGAAACATAAACCATTAATATAATTAATATTTGGAAACACTAGTATTCAAAGTAAGTCAATACATATTGAATGTACTTTTGAACTTTAGATCAGGTTAAGAATTAGATATAGTCTTTTATTTACTGAAACATAGAAAATTAAATTTTCATCAAATTTGCATAATTTCCACTTCCTTAAATTTAAAACTAGATATTCTTAAGTTGTGAAAAATTATTAGAGAAATCTAATTTACTCAGTGAACCTTTCATAAATTACTCATAGAAATTCAGAATATTTTACAGATCCACTGAAATGGACATTAAACTGTGGTTAGAAAATGTAAAATGGAACAGTACCGTTTAAATTAGCCACCGTATAATATTTTACTACAAACTATGAACAACAACATGTACTGGTATCAAAAATGTAATAATAATGATAAAAATAGTACTGCTGTAGTGAACGAGAACCTAGGTGGGGAAAATCAATTTATTATTCAATGCAAAATTACAGAGTGCTTTCATAAAATATGAAAATCATACATTAAATATATCATTTGAACATCTTCTTTGTTGTGTTCTTTACATACCCCATTATTCCTCTACTTCTGATGTCATTTCGATTCCTATCAGATTTGCTTTCTGTTCTCTTCTCTTCGATCTCCTGCTGCTAAGGATTCCACTTCCGATTGAGGCTACACCCTATTTACATCTAACAGAATAAGTAGCACACACCACACTATTATTATTATTGCTAATAATAATAGCAATAATGAGTGACTGGTAACTAACAAGTCATTTGGTGTAAAATAATCCTCAAAGTACAGATCTAATATTTTTCATGGACTGTGCTTGTGATTGAAAATGATCTTAAATTATTATGTGCCCATTTCTAATTGTACTTTTACAATATTGACCAATAGTTATTCTCTGATATTCTCAATAATATAGTTTGATTTAACATCAACGTAAATAAATATGATATTTGTGGTTGAAAGAAAATGTGCATTAAAATCAAAAGTGGTTCACTTCAGAGCGATGATCGTCTATTTAGGAATTCAAAATAATGTTTAATGGTTGAGGTCATCCGTAACGTTTTGTGTGCTGTTATATCCTGACGATAATTATGAACGGTAACTTTTGAGAACTATTTGTGGACAAATATCATAAGTATATTCTTCATGTATAACTATTCAGCAGCTATATTATGTATATATATACTCCCCTTATTACAATCTTCATTTTGACCTATAAACTATTATCATGCGATTAACCGTTCTTGAGTCTCACATAGTCCATTAATTACAGTCTCCCACATTCATAGCCACTTTTGGCTAGATATTGTACAAATCCTGTTTTCTATTTGATGGTGCGATGTGGTCTGTTTGATTTTTATATAAACCCAGTGCGTTTGAAAAACATTATTCATATTGCAGCGGCCGGGACTAGTGTTCTGCACTCAACAGGCAGGGCTAAGCAGGAAGAAGGGCCGATAAGGACTCTGGAGTGCTCGTACGGGTTTATGCGTCATTGGTCCGGTCGATAAGCCACTGTTCTTTAATTGGCAATATCATTACGTTATGTATTAATAGGGTACAAGGCCATGAGTTATAACATGTCCAACTAGTATATCATATCCAGCTCTTTCAGTCGTTTCTTTGTGTTAACATGTTGCTTGAGTTCTGTATTTTAGTGTAATTTTCATTAGGGACCCTATTTGGAGCTCTATTTACATGTTTTCCATCCGAAATGTTTGGTTGCGTTACACCAATATGTTCATAATAGATGTCTTTGGATAACCCCATACCTTTGAAACTGAATCTTCAGTGGAATTTACACTTTAGTAAACGGGAAATTGACTGAAAATGCTAATTTAACCTAAATAACGGTGTTGTCACTAAAAATGTACAATTGGAATAAGAAATAATGATAAAAAATCTAAAATGAATTTATATTTGATACTTACTTCAAAAACACTATTACCTTTCAGTAAAACGAGTCCACCATACTTCTTACAACGTTCTTGTTTCATCAAACTTGAGTTTACAGGCATAATAATAGTAATTGGTATTTTCAACAAACTTCCATGATATGCCAAACCAAGTGCATGGTTACCAGCACTACATGCAATTACACCACGTTTAGCTTCTTCCTACAACGAAACATCCAAATGTTCATATAACAAGTATATAACACTTTGATAACAAACAATCGTTCACTACAAATAATTATTCTGTTTAAACGACAAAGTGACTAGACGCCTTAACTTATTTTGGTTATCCTACCGTGCGTAAAAAAGTGATCAATTCCTGACTGACCATATACTGAAAGATTATTGCGTTACTATTTATGTCCTATCTTTTTCTTCCATCTAGAGCTGATAATCTGTATGGACATTCCTGAAAAGTTCTAAGATCAAAATAAAATCGTCTACGCCTGAATTTTTATTCCTCACGTTTAGCCGTGAATCACTAAAATTTTTTTCAGGAATATGTGATATCAGCAGCTTCTGCTGATATATTCACAGAGAGGTGGAATCTCCATAGCACTAACAATAGCAAAGATTAAAATAGGTCACTTGATTTCAAAAAGCCATTGCTAATGTGTACCAACTTGCTAAATGCAAATGAGTAGTATATGAATGGTGATGAAGATTACATAATTGACTAGACATTTTATATTTTATAAAATTATACATTGGTTTGTTGTTATGAATACAAAACCAATTTCAACAATGCGAAAAATCATGGTTCATTACTCCTCTTAGTTGTACAAATGCGATTTAACAACAATCAACACAGTTACGTCTATATTTACTCACACACATATACATACTGGCCTATTAAGAAAACATAGTTAACTTGGTGATTTAAACCAAGCAGCGTGAACTGCTTTACAATAAGTTTTAAAGTAATTCTTAATTTTAACAAGTAGTCATACATTTAAAAAGTATGCAGTGTAGTTTATTATCTCATGTCACAAAACCCCCTAAAAAAATTCACTTATAAAATGAAATGAACATAATATAATGAGCAAGTTAAACATAGATAGGCATAAAATTCAGTATTTATTAGTTTAAACATGTTCTATTTGTCTACTATTGTTAATTGAATATGAACGACTACTGCTGAGATGTAAAATAAAATATTTTATTTTATTTTATTTATATTTACTTGTTAACATGCGACAGATACAAGAACCTTTCTGTAAATGTGTCGTTAATGACGTTCATGTAAGATTTGGAAGTGGTACTTATCTCAAGTTACAAACACTTTTGATTTTTGATGAAAGTGGAAACATTTTAATGACATTTGAATACAATGGAGTTCCACCAACCTAACTAATATAATTTGTTTGTAAAATACATATTTATTTCATTGATCTTCATATACAATATTAGTGGGGAGGTTAGTGATACTGTGTGTACTACTTATATTGACATAAGTAGTAGATGATGTTAGTCGTGAACAGAATGTCTGGCAGCAGAGAGACAAGAGGATCGAACAGTAAAGAATGGAAACAGAATGCAATTTGTATGAAAATGCAAGAACAATGAAGTCTGAGTCATTATGCGACAATTGATGGACTTTTTGCTAATTATGTATTTACTATTTGGTTGTTAGATTTTATTAATATGTCCCGTAATTTTCTGTTAATCATATTCGATTGTTCCCACTGGTGTTCTTGTTCACTACAACACTACTTGGTTGCTCAAATTGGGATAGGTGAACTGAGATTCAAACTTGTAACTGTTTAGGTAAAAGTTGCAACCTTTACTTGCTAATCCATTAGTTTCTCTGAACTAACACTATTGGTCTCGTCAAAATGTCACCGTTTCTAAAACTTTTTGAGGTGTCAATGAATATGGTATATATTAGTGAGGAGCTTTTTTTCTCCACTTTCGACTTTAGTTTGGAAAAAAAGTTAGGCATCTGATTAAATTTTCTTTTATCAGTTGATATCAGTTTGAAAAGCGTTCAAAGTTAAGTAGTCGTGAATATGGGGGTTTTCTTTGAATTTTCACTACTTTAGCTACACTACCCGATAATAAATAAACTCAAGCAATTTGTTTTACTTCAACGGCCACATTACACTTGTCTGTAAAATTATTGATATGTTATTTCTTTTTCATAATATGGCAATTCAAACTGCTAGAGTATAATTTACCGTACATTACTATATGATAAAGGTTAAACGATGTTGGATGGTTAAATTCGACAATTTTAACTCCTATATGACTTTTGTAGACTGATTTTTGAGCGTAAATTACTAAACAGTTAAAAATTGAAATGAATCAAACTATCAACCACTTTCATTACATTTTTAAGTGTACGACCAAATCATACAAAAAATAAAATTATCGCTTACTGACGTCAACTGAAGTAGTGCATTGCGAGCTCCTCTTTCTTTAAAGCTGTTATTAAAAAGAAAGTCATAAAGACATTAAAACGTAATTTAAAAACAGTAACCTCCCAGTTACTTGAAGAAATTCCTTTTTAAAGTAAATATCCATATTGTATTCCAATGACAGCTGAGACTTCTTTAAAACACATGTAGGTGTATTTATGCAATTTATGTTTTAATTCTTACTTTACACGGTGTATAAATTATTCCATCTTTTATAAGTTCACTGGCAGCCTTTACTTCTTCAAATACAATCACTTTAGGATGCTCTGGATCACTATTCGGATCTAACAAATCTGGATCGTCTGCATTTGGTAAAGGTATATTTGTCACTAATTGTTCATTAACCATGATGCCGGTATATGTCAAACTAATCTTCTGATAAAAAAGAAGCTATTTTAATGCGTCATCAATATATCAATTAAATTAACAAGAAAAGCTATATGTTTACATCTCACCGCTATCCAGATAAGCGAGTTACGTGAAAAGTGGAACTTATATCGTAAATTTTTTCTCCGAAAGCTGATTATTACAAATTTGTTTAGCGCAAAAATATATAATTTACTGTTATGGTAAGCTAATTAGATGTAGACTAATGAGAAGGATAGTCGACGATAATCAAAAGTGACCTATAGAGCACGTGAATTTCATTGGCTAAGAAATAGATTAATTTCCCAAGTAATAGATTTGTATATATTTGACTGAGTATTTTTGCATTTCATTCTGTAGCCCAATATACTTCCCCACTCAGTTTTGTGTTCTTGCCTCATTAGTCAGTTGATAGGGGGAGTTAGGATATGGCACATGGTGTATCAATAACAGACTCCGGACACCACCCGACACGAATTTTACAGTATTAAACAATCGGAATAGGATATAGAAAGCCAGCCATAAAACCATTATAAGCTGGCAAATAATACGTTAAAAGTTACCTATCAGTTGATGGCTATGTAACGTTTATCAGTATATTGATAAACGTTATTCTAATTCATTGGCTTGGATCTATTAACTAACCGACAGGACTATAAGAGTTTTAGAAGTATTTAGTGATATAGGTGCATATATTATTTTATACGTCTCAATTGCAAATACCATCTAACTAATAGCCACATAAATAATTAAGGTTACTAAAGTGTTTATTGCACATTGTTCTTTAACGCCAGAAGAGATGCAGAAGCAATTAAATACAAAGAGTAAATAAACAATAGTTTAACTGATGTTTTACGTTCATTGGCTACGTTAATAGCTTTGATTTTACCAATTAAATAAAAACACGTAGACAAACATATCCTAAAGAGAAGACCTAGAACATTCTGTAGTTTGTAAACTATCTATGATCACCAAAACCTAACATCTAGTTTCCTTTAACTTCATTTCTTTTGCAATGTATCCCTCAATCTATTCCAACACGATTTCTCCTCTCGTTACGGCCACCGGAGTGTGAATTGACTAATAAAGTGTAAAAAGTTAGAAACTTGGTGTCTATTTTAGGTAAAATCTGTCTTAAACACATTGTCGAAGACATAACATTTTCGAAAACACGAACGAATGAATCGGTAGTAGATATTGTGTGGTGTACAAATGATTAGAAAAAACTTCCTGTTTAAATAATGTTTGTCCTCATCTAAGTTTCATTCAGTTTCTCGACCTCTTATTATAGATTACTGAACAGTTTGTTTAAGATCTATTGTTGATCTGCTGGTAACAATGTACTTTATTGATTGATTGTTCCACACAATATATTATACCTCCAAACTCATTCGTTCCTCATCGAGCTTCTAATAGTCTTTCAGCTCATGACAAACCCGTCTTTTACATTTTTTTAACTCAAAATAGATAACCATGTAACTTGAATGTGTAAGTATCATGTTTGGAGAACCCATTTGATGGCTATAAAATTGCAAAATTTTAACCACTTTGAACACGCTTAGTTTAAGTACCTTTAAGTAATTCTTTATTTTGGATATTTCTACTTGTTTCTAAATTATCCTCTAGGGTTTTATTTGTGTTATAATAATTTTCCTGACTTTCCACTTGACCCTGTTCAGTACATTAGAACAATTTGTGTTTCGAAGCATAGTGCGTACATTAGAGAACAGTGGGATGTACAGTACGGTTGACTGACGTACATCCTTGGATAAAGAAGTTCATCAAACTTCATCATGGGAAATATCATAATTTCATGAGAACTGTGAATATCGAATTTGTGTATTATATAACAACATTTATCTGAAATCACAACGACGATCATAAGATATTTTATTCTTTAACTTTTATTTGAATCAAGTATTTGTGGCGCTAAAACAGGTTTTTTATATCATTAAACTATTTTTTGTCTGTATTATGTTCTCCGCGCTGAATGCCTAACAAGTGAACGTACTCAAAAACATGTGGTTATGATAGAATTGTAAAACAATTTAGTGTCCTAATCATCCAAAATAAGTGCCCTGCAATGCATTATAGAAACAAACTAGTCAGATTAATATTTTTAAAAAATTGTATCAAAAATTAAAACCGCTAGCATTCAATGACCAAAATATGTGACAGAAAATCTTCATTCTAAAGAATTCCGACCGCTTCAGAAATGAAAAACATTATCCGGAGAACAGTTTATTATTCTTAGAAAATATTTTAAAGTAGTTGTCTACGAATCAATAAGAATCATGAAATAATAAAGCTTACATGAAAAATCAGCTAATTCTGAAGAGAGCGTGAACTGAGAGACCAGTCGTATTTCCGCGCTTAGACGCCAACATTTCGTTTGTTTTTAAGGTTATTCAATGAACGGTATCTTTGTGATGCTTCGAAACAGTTTAAGGTCTTTGATAATGTAAAGTGAGAAGTAGTCTGGTATTATTTTTAGTCACTTCGGGAGTTATTTGAGGTCTTCTGTATCTTGAAATCCGAATGAATTTATCTTAAGATTAATTAACGCAGTAGAGTTAGAGAAAACAACAGCTATTGAATTAACAGACAGGAAATTCGTTAATTTAATGCTAGAAGTAGTAAAAAAATTAGAATGCAGGAAGGCTCAGATAAAATTATGATCAGAAGAAGTAAACAAATAAATAAGTTATTACTTAGAACAGTATGACCAAGAAAGATTTGTTTCATATCCCTATCATTGCGTTCTTCCCCTGCCTCTTAGAGCTATACGTAAATCTAATAGGTTTTGTTATCACAATACATTCCTATGTATTCCTTTTTTGCAAGACATCGCATATATATGGTGTTTGTATGAAGTAATGATTATGTAGCGGTAAATAAATCACCAAAATCAATGACTTTGTAAGTCCTTGACATTTGACGCCGACTACATTAGTTTTAGTGGGTTCACCTGGATGAAGGCTCTCGGTCACGCATCCACACCAGATCACGAGTGAAAACAGAATGCTCAACTTCTACAACCGCTAGCCAGTTTAGAGCAGTCATTTCTCGATATATGAACAAACCATCAAATATATCTTCGAACCTCTTCGCTTCTGATTTTTGATTTCACTGGATGGGCACGTTTTGATTACAGATGTTGCTTTGCAATTGATTCTTAGTTCATTTTGAATTATAGATACAATACTTTCGTTTGTGCTTATCTAGTTCCTTTTAGCTTAAATTGCACAGTTTCGAAAACTCAAAAATAATACAATAATCCGAATGCTTCTAGTTTTCGGAATATGCATATTCCTAACGCAGTGAGCTGTGTCTACATGTACACTGTCGCGAGGTTGCGGCTAAGGATGTTAGAACCTTATGAACTTTGAGACGGATATTTACCAGGTTAAATGCTAATATGTTCGCTACAACATAAAACCTTACAATGATACAAACTTCAAAATAGTCTTCAGGTTGCAAATATTTGTTTAAAAGATGACCCGTGTATACTGAAAAAAGTAAACAGATCTGCTACGCGTGCAATTCCAGAACTCCGGGATTTAAGACGATAAGGGCAGCTTGGGAAGCTAGACTTCTTTACTACGTCCCACAGCAGATTAAAAGGTGATCTGACTCTTATGTTTAGAACATTAAGAAATGATTTTATAGCAGATCGACACAACTCAGAAGATATAGCAGGAGAGTAGAAAAGCCAAGAACGAACAAAATGCCTGTTGCATACGTGTTTTCACTCCGAGTCATCAATTCTTAGGACCTGTAACTCGAAAGAAGTGGTATGCACCCCCTCATTTGACTCAGTCAAGAGAAGAACCAGAAAGATCATATGTGTACTACTACTACTAAAAGATTCACTTGGTATTATTTATTTGAATCTTACCACTGATCGTTAGGACAGTTACTTATTGGTATATGTATATACTGTGTAAATTGTCTCGATATTTTCTTAATTCGCAGGCACTACAAGCAAAGATAGACTCGGTAGCTAAGATGATAGTGCGACGGCGTTTAAATTTAACGGCACTGAGTTCGTGTCCCAGTGTAAGCATAAACTTTGGAGAGCAATTACCGAGTTCCGAACAGGATTCCACTGCTAGCAAATAGAAGATGTGGGAACCAGAAGAGGAGCTGGTATAGATTCAAATCACCACTTAGTCGTGGCCAAGATGAAACTGAAACTACAGGAGCAATCGACAACTGGACAAACAGGACTACAAAAATTCAATTCAGCCTTCCTACGAGGCACTAACAAACTCAATGAATTTAAGATAATTCAACAACAGGTTCCAAGCTTTACATGCTCTACGGAAAGAAGAAGAAACTTCTATGGAGGACAACTGGAAAGGGATCAAAGAAGCATTAAAATCAAAGTGTCAGGGGGCACCGGACCGAAAGAAGCATCATCATAATGAATGGATCTCTGTCGTAACCCTCGACAAGATTGAAGAAAGAAAGAACAAGAAGACAGTAATCAACAACAGTCGAACAAGATCACAGTAAGTCAATCCACACGCTGAATATACATAAGCGAACAAGCAAATGAACAGGAGTATTAGAGTCGACAAGCAGAAATATGTGGAAGACCTAACAACGACAGCAAAAAAGCTTCAAGAGAAGGAAATATGAGACAGCTACATGACACAAAGAAGGAATGAACAGAGAAATATAGTAATCCAGAGAGATCGGTCAAGGACAAAGAAGGCAAGCCCGATCACAGACATTCAGGGACAGAGGAACAGGTGAGTCGAACATTTTGAGAAACTCTTAAATAGACCAGATCATTGAATCCCCAGGATATTGAAGCATCACCTACAGACCTTCTTAAAGATATCACCCCACCAACGATCGAAGAAACCATCTGGAATTCATACGACGGGCTGCATAGAGGACAGCTGACTGATGCACTCCAAGTAAGGACCTGAGTCAGACAAGGTTGTTTACTCTACCCCTTTCTCCATCTTCTA